ATTGCCCCAAACCAGATATGACAGCATCGATTGGCCACCATCGCTTCCACCAAGGGGGGCCAATGCCGACGTGGCCTTGGCCTGGCAAAGAGACACTGCAAATGGGTCCTTGCCAAGCAGCTCCTCGAAGTTTGGTGGAGATATCACATGTAACTCATGGCCGGTGCATGCCTCTTCCACCTTAACTTCGTCCTCAGCCTGGATGCCAATTGCTTCTTCAACCCCCCTTTCTTCTTCATGTGGTATCACCCCTGGGAAATGATCAAGAACTCCTCCTGCTTCACTTTCGTCGTCCTCCACAACTTCTTTCTGCACCCTTTCTGGCTCTTCTTCTTCTAGCACAGATTGGAGAGCAAGTCGCCATGTAATTTCTTCAATGAGATCATCTTGCATCTCCTCGCTCGGGCCCAGCATGTTAGAGCAGAAATAAGGAAATGTGTGATCTGCAACCAGAGGACTTTCCTGATCATGATTATCATGGGAGTTCTCTGTGATAACTTCTGTATGCTCCTCAACATCCCCGTAGCCTTTGTCATTCTTCACCTCTTCTAGCGTGGTAGCGGAAAGGTGATCTTGAGCAAGATGTGAGCAAACTTGCTCCACCCACTCTATTTGCTTCGCTGAGCGCTGAACAATCTCCTCCATTTCATGGAGAAATGAGGGATCGGAAGGGGCAACGGCTTTGATTTGAAGATCCATCTTGGAGCATGATCTCTCAGTGTCTCGAGCAAACTGCTCCACGAGAAGCCTTAATTGTTTGTTCGGATCTTCCAGTGAAGTGTAGCATGGCTCTGCAGAGTGGCACGTGAAGGCCTCCATGGCTAAATCCAGCTCCTTCTGGTTGTGGGAGAAAGTCTTCTTGGTAATGAGGTTGTTCTTGATATGCCCATGGGTCTGATTGTTCTCTGTAGTAAGGGGGTTGGTATTGTAACCCGAATCCATAGTCTTTTCCTCCTTGATTGCTCCAGGGAGTCTCGGGGTAATACCACTAGGATGGTGGTGGATAACCCCAATGGTTGGAGAAGCCATGAGGATCCATGATTCAGATCTGCACCAACAAAAACAAAAACACCCAAATGAAAAGCAAGGGTGGAAAAGAAAAGAAAAACGCTAAAGTAACAAACTTCTGGCTTTCCTAATAATCTAGAAAGTCCCCGACAACGGCACCAAAAACTTGACACGCTAAAACACAACACCTAACAATGGCCAAGTGTAACCAATGAAAGGGACTGCAGTATAGTGACACAAGTAATAAATATCAAATCCACGGGTCTCTAGAGTTACTATTACTCAGCTTCAGTTCATTATCTAGCAAACTAGATTAAGGATTGATTTATAAACTACTCTACTAACTACTCTAGTAATTACAAGTTGGGAACTCACTTAGGTATGATTCCCCCTAGCTCCTCAATTTGGTCCAAGTTGCAATTACTTTTGGTTGGTCTACTGTTGATTAAACTGCGGAAGATCCTAAATTAGCTTGGAATCTCTTTAGCTGACCAAGCCCTCTTAGATAGAATACCCGGCAGGCGACTAGCCTTCACCGGGATAGACTGCTAAGGCGATTCACACAGATCTCCACTACTGGAATGAATTCCAGTACAAAGCAGTGAATTGGTTGACTCTCGCACAACCAATTCACCACTATCAATCAAGGAAGCTCTCTTAACCTAATCAGATTCTATCTATCATAGGTTAAAGCAGAAATCAAGAGAATTTGATCAAGATTCAATTGACTCAATAAATCATGCCTCAATCGATTATAATCAAACAATATTGCATCCAAAACTTCATACAAGAAAGATCCTAAGTGAAGGGAAGTTACTCCATAGAGAAGAGAGAGACTGCAGAAATCTGATCTAGATCTTCAATCTCCATCTCCAAGCTTGATTCCCGAGCTCCAATGGCGAAGAAATCCTCCAAAATAGCTCCAAGAATGTTCCCAAGTCGGTCTCTCTCTAGGGTTCGTCCCTTGGGTGTTTGGGAACCAAAACCCAGCTCCCCCTCTCCTTTGCCTTGAAATTGGCTTAAAACCAGAAATTCCCGACTCACACGGCCAGGCCACCCGGCCGTGTGACTTTCCTAGCTGCCCGTGTGAGTGTCCAAACGAGGCGTTTCGATTAGTGGGCAACCAGGCAAGCTGCACGGGCAGAGGCCACACGGCCGTGTGGCTTCCTAGACTGCCCGTGTGGCTTTTACCGAGCCTTCACACGGCCACAAGGGGCCCCTACACAGCCGTGTGAGGTGCAATGGTGCCCGTGTGGCTTCCCAGCTTCTCGCCAGACATCCAAACTTCGTCCAATCGACCCCGAACTCATTCCCAAACCTTCATTCACGTACTAGGAACTGAAATATCACAAACAAGCACAACCTAGCGTGAAATCGGCCTAAAACACGAGAATCAACATCTCAAACGGCTCAAGAATAGGGGTAATTATTGCACTATCAGCCACGAAGGGACGCTGGCCTGGCCGAGCGAGGCGGGTGTATAGTGTCTTGAAGTTCACCCCCTCTGGCTCGGTGAGCTCGGTGACGTAGTCCCTATCATTGGCCAGGCCGAGGCCGAGGGCGGTCGCCAAGTCGTGGTAGCTCATGGAGTGGGGTGCACCGCTGAGCCTGAACTGGACGACTTCACCGTCTGCCCAATCCTCCGTCTATTCGTGCTTGAAGGTCGTGTAGAACTCAAGCACGAGCTCGTGGTAAACCTTCTCGCAAATGCATAGTAGACGGTGCCAGGGGCGGTTGGTGCCAATGGCGGAGAAGTGCTCGTAGCAGTGTATCTTCTCAAACTCCCGCTTGGACCAGCAATGAAGCTACCCAAACGAGCAGGCCAGGACGCTCTTAAAACGATCCTTGTGGGGGGCCCTCTTCAAATCCCGAATAAACGGGTGCTTGAGGTCGGGTTTCATCATGGTCCTGCAAAAGAACAACCCAAAGTGGAACCAAAAGAGCCAAGGAAATGGTTAATCACACCCCCACACTAGAGAACAAAAATCAGCCGAACCATGGTTTCATCCATAGTTCGGGAGTCAAAAAATCGATCAAACAAGCATAATCTGGGTGGGGGTGCACATTCCTGAAAAAATAGGCAACTCAAGGTTCACATCCATAGCAAACACACCCTCAAAGCACATCATTAAGGGCCCCAACCGGCTCCCACAAAATGGTACGAAAACAGGCATTTCATCGAACACCTTGTGTGCACTATTAAGTTAAGCAAGAAATTGACAATTTCTTGCACACAAGAGCTCAAACAAGCATGGGGGACATTGCCCAACACAATTCACACACAAACCAAGCTTTCCCCTCAATCAATTGCACACAATTCACATGATTCAAAGTTGTTCTCTAAACATACACCCTAACACCCAATTCTCCATAAATCACAATGTTAAAGTCAAAATCAAACCTGGAGACACAAGTAGAGGTGTAGGGGATGATGAGGGGAAGGCAATGGAAGCGACGAAGAGGCCAAAATCTGCCTGGAAGTGCTCGTCGGAGCCTCGTCGGAAATCGCCTCCGGCGACTCAAAATCGATCCAAATCGCCTCAAAGTCGAGGGATAGGCCGAAAATGGAGAGAAAAGGATGGGTGTGGAGGTGGTTTGGTGAAAAACCGACCAAAAATGGCCGAAAATTGCCAAAGAGGGCGAAAGGTCGCGGTTTTCCGGCGAGGGGGAGAGGATTTTGGCAAGAGGATTTGAATTTTCTGACCAGGCGGCCGTGTTAGCCAAATTTATAGAGGCTGGGCTCGGCCACACGGGCAAGCTCACACGGCCGTGTGAGGTGCACATGTGCCCGACACGGTCAGGCCGAGGATTTCCACACGACCGTGTGAAAAGCACAACTGGCCGTATGGAAATTGTCGAGGCTTCACACGGGCAGGGGGGCAATCCACACGGCCGTGTGAGGGACCCCTCTTGCCCGTGTAAAATTTCCAGGGCCTCCACACGGCCAAAACCCATTTCCACACGGCCGTGTGACTTTTAGGGCTGGCCGTGTGGGCTGCCAGAACTCTGAATTTGACCTGTTTTCACTCCAAATCGACATACGACTCTTGGACAATACCTCAAGACTCAAAAACACAAAAAGTCAAAAGGAAAAAGGTAAGAAAATGCAAACCTTGGCCCTCGTGGTGGTCTTCCACTTTGATCTATCTCGTTCGGAATCCTATTGGCTAGTAAGCTTCATCCGGTAATGCACGAAAACTCTGTCCATAAGAGCTTTTTACTAAGGCGAGTTTGAAGAAAGGACTAACGAAGTGAAGGGGGTCTTTGCTCGTGTTTTTAATCACGGCCATTACATGAGAACAAGGCATACCTCTTCCCTTATATTTCTGGCAGGAGCACTCTCCTTGTTTTGTTCTGAAGTTGACCTTTACTTCATTTCGATGCCCCCCACGTCTACCATCCTGCCAGTGTCCGGTCTCGACTGAATAATCACCAGCATCTCGATTCATAATAGTGACACTATGATGACTGCTCTTACGGTTGTGCCCAGTGGAGGTGATTGACGAACCAATGGTTCGCTCTCCAATATGTCATCTCCACAATTGCAGAGATTGGTAATGCACGAACAGCCTTGAAGGCGGAGTTGATACTCTCACTAGAGTTCGTGGTTGCAATACACCACCTAGTACCTCCGTCCTTGTGAAAAGTTCACATGGTTAGGTCATGTTGATCCATCCATTGCGCACCTTCAAGGCAAAGCTCGCAGATTTTCTGCATCTTTTCCAAGAATTTCTTCTCTTGGTAGGCTACAGCTGATGCATAAACAGAAGAAAGGGTCAAGTAACAGGTAAAACAATACAACACTCGTTATACTCTTAGGAGAGGTCTATGTCTCCTTAAAAACACAGCCTTTTTGACAGAAAAAGGGGGGATCCGAGGATTTCTTAGAACCTGATTTTCCCGGGAAATGGGAGGACCATGAAGATCGCTTAAGACCCCATTTCCTTAGGCATGAATCTCTTTATGAAGAGTCTTAGTAAGTGTTATATTATATTGTAAATCTAATTTTATCAAAATTAATTGGCCAATGTAGTATAACGCTTACCGGTCCACCATAGACTGTCAGCAAGTTTCTTTCGCTTGAAATGAGGTTCCAATTGCTCTTGAAGTGTCGTATGCGCCACCTCTGAGACCACTTCCAGGCTGGATCCAATCCTAAAATGGCGGCTCTGATCTCGACATGGCGATCTGAGATGATCTTTAGGTTCGTTCTCCTGGTGACATGGAGATGGATTTGTCGGAAAAACCATCCATAGCTATCGGCATTCTCTCCCTCAACAATGGCGAAAGCTAAAGGGAAGACTAATATGTTTGCATCCGCTCCACTAACAATAAGGAGAGCGCCCTTGTACTTGCCAGTAAAGAATGTGCCGTCCACTTGTATTGCAGGCACACAATAGGGAAAACCATCAATAGATGGCTTGAAGGACCAGAAAAGACGTTTGAAATGGCGTTTGTTACTGGGCTCCGACGGCAGAATTTCTTCATCTTGGTAGCGGGGGAGAAAACGGTGTCAGGGTTAGAGCCCTCCAATGCCAAAATCAATCTTGGAAGGAATGCATAAGATTCTTCCCAGTTGCCAAACACGGCAACAATTGCTTTCTGTTTCCCATGCTACGCCTTCTTGTAGTTAATAATATAGCCATAACGACTAGAAATGTTGGCGATGATGGCTTTAATCTTTAGGTCGGGTTGCTGCTCAATTAGATGCTTGATAGCCGAAGCAACCACCCTGGATTTCAACTGTCGATGGACTTGGGATGTTATGGATGACACACATGTGTGTGTGTTCATCGCACAGGATATGACCCAATGCCCGACTCTCTTGCTCTTGATGGCCCGGACTCTAGCCATGCACCCCTCGTGTTGATTTTGGCACCGAACTATGAGTCTCTTCGTGTCGATATGAGTTGTGCGCCATTCAAAACTCCGAGTCATTGCTTCGGTGTCAATAGCGTGTCGCACCTCCTTCTTTGTACCAAATTGTTGGCCCTTCGTAAACCCAGTGAGTGGACCCCCACATATATTTTTTTTATAATGGTGAAATTTTATTAGATATCAAAAGAAATCGTCCAAGGAGGACGAGGATCAAGAGAGCTGATCCTTAAAACGGACATAAAAAGAAAAACAAAAAAAGAAAACATCCAAGAGATCCCCATATCTCTATTCCTATACAAAGCAAAGCCTGGGGCAGAGCCCCTGTACCAAGCAAAACCCCTCTAAACAGAATCCCCTTTGATCCAAAGACAAAAAATCAGCATAAACCAGCACCCATAGGCCTGTACTGCACAAGTGAAAACACTGGATTCAACCCTTCATAGCAGACCCTCGCACCATCCCAAAAACACCAGCACCACTCCAAAAACATCGATCGAGAAGGGCAAAAAAGAACCCCAAACCCTGTTGCAAACACACAAATCTCCAAACCCCCATACAGACAAGGAGAACACCCAGGATCCATCCACCTCATACACCTTCTTGTTTCACCTCTAATTTAGCCTCATCTATGTCAACCATCCACATGCCTCCTCCTTCTGCACTTTTCCTTTAGCCACGATCCATTCCAAAGCCTTTTTCACCACCTTCCTCCGTACCTCTATCGAATGCGTCTCTTTGTCTTCGATCCATACCCTCTGCACTTTTCCTTCTTATACCCAGTGAGTGGACCCCCATATTGGCACCTTTGGCGGCTCCATGTCGGCATCAACATACTAATCTTCATTTGGAATGTGGTTTTAGTACGGGATAGGTACCTGGTCACGAGTCACCTCATCATCAGCTGAGTCTGAATTAAGGCCTGAATCATCGGCACCTTTAAGAGGGTCGTAGCTGTCTGCACTCACATCACCTTCCTCTTCTTCATCCTCAGGATTGTTGATTGGTCCTGGGAGGACATCTTCCATCTCATCAAGATCATGAAAGGCACCAACATCATCTCCGTAATGGTAGTTGTGATAACTACCACTGCCTGCATGGAAGTCATACTCGGGTTGATACTGGTAGCCATCTTCTTGGTTGTCAGTGTATCCTTGGGCTTCTCCTTGTTGATACTCATTGTAGGAATGACGATCATGGTCGATTTGGTACGGATGATCTTCATATAAACCCCCTCCACCGTGGATACCAGATGTGGCCTTCTCCATAATGACCTCCAACGCCTGCGACCGACTCGGTGTAAACGAACATATCTTCTTTGGAAATGTTATTGGTGGTCAAAAATTAAACCATGGAATCTACATCCGCCTTAGTGGTTATGACGAATTCCTCATGCCCAACACCTTGGATTGTCTGTTTGAATATCGATACACCATACGGTCAACTCTCCTCGTGCCACTTATGCAAGTAACCTCAGTACAAATTCGATGCAGACCTTCAAGGCTCGGTGTCGTAGAAACCTTCACTTTTTGAAAATTGCCATCGACGTAACGTACTCCCTTTCCGGTATCTTCCGTATAACCATTCCACCGTAACCCAAGCATGAACTTTTGGAATGTCATCTGCAATAAAACGGTAACTTAATTAATACCAAAAAATTTGTCAATGTTAATCGTTAATTGCAAAGAAAACTTACAATAACAAGTAATACCAAACAAACTTACAACGTAACATTAATCGCTATAATATAAAACAAAATCGCTAAAACAAAAACTTAAAGAAGAATAGGAAGAGGGGTGCAATGCTGTGTTTTCCGGGGCTGCCTTTTATAGCAAAAAAATTCCATGAACTCCCCCCCCCCCCCCCCCCCCCCCCCCCAAGTGGTTCTCACAAAACTTACTCCCCACTCCAGCAGTCCCCCTGCATGCCGACTGTTTTCCTGTCAGGAAAGTGGGGAAAACACACCAAAACCGCTCCCCCCCAGGGCGGTTTTGGTGTCGACAAGAAAACCGCTCCTCCATAGAATGGTTTTCATGGACTGCAAAATGGGGGAGTGGTTTCTATCATGTTGACCTAGGGCAGCCTTCAAACCGCTCTTCGGAAGGGCGATTTGTTGCCGAAACTAAAACCGCTTCTTCCCAGAGCGGTTTCCAATGAAAACGCCTCCCCTGGAGACGGTTCTTAGAAGAAAGGTGGTATAAGTGGAAATTTTTTGCATTGGGTGGTATTTTTGTAATTTTTTTTTAAATAGTGGTATTTCTAGAAAAATCCCCAAGAGTTACATCTCCAAACAACCAAGCATAACCCCGCACACAATCCTTTTATTTAATTTAATCTCCCTAGTCATACTTGAGCTCAGTTTAGAATGATCCTTACCTAGATCTGCCTTTTTTAGAACCTGCTTCAAGACAATAATAGAAGTCAGAATCGATTGAAGGGGTATTAAATCAGAAGTAAAAAAAGTAACAAAACAAAACCCTCCCTGTGTCGTCATCAGCCTATCGCCGCCAGACCTTCGCCGTCGGAGATCCTCGCCGCCCGACGACACCTTCTCCTCTACTAGATCCCAGTCCAGAATCAAAACCCAGAAAAATATCAGAAATCCACATCTTCAAGAAAAAAATCATGAAAAACAACATGCAAGCTGAATCTTACCTAGATCGAAGCCTCACTAGTTGATTAGAGGTTCTCAGGTCGGGTTTCTAGGGTCGACGGCGGTGGCGTGACCCGATGCCCGTCTTCTTTCTCCCATCACACAAACACAAAGCAAGAACATACATCAGAACCCGAAATCAACAAATGAAACCCAAATAAAAATATGCAAACTCTTAATCGTCACTTACCATAGTCGTAAGGTTGTCGTCGCCGCTTTTCTACCTAGAAAAAGTAGATTGATAACTCCTCGGTCTAGGTCGATTCTTCCGGAAATAAAATAGAAAAATAGGAAGAAGAACTCCGAAATCCCTAAAAACTCAAAGCCGAAACCAAAGAAAATTAAACATGCAACCTAAAAAACTCACATTCGTCGTTCGTGTCGTCAGCGACCATCGGGTTGCAATTATCGCCGATCTGTCTGGTCAACGAACTCCATTTTGTCTCAACATAGAAGAGATGACAGGGGATTTCGGGCGAGCTTTTCATGTTGGTTTTCGAAAGGGAGAAACGAGAGAGAGAGAGAAGACGGGGAGAAGAAGAGCAGCGGCTCTAGAAGAGAGGCTTTCTCGTTTCGTTGGAGGAGAAGATAGGTAGAGAGAATCGAGAAATGAGAGGGGTGAACAACGGCGACCGCCGCTTAGGGATAGAATGGATTAGGGTTTTTTTAGAACTTAGAGAGAGTTTTATACTCTGTGTTTTGAAATGGCAAAAATGCCCCTAGGGTTACGTCGTATTTACTACCCTTGCCATCGTGTTTTTGTGCATTTACCATAATAACCCTCCTTTATCTCTTTAAAAAGAAGAAGTGGCGAGTCTGGGTTTCGAACTTGTGACATTCGCCACCAATTATACTCGTGTAGACCAGTTGGTCTACAACAGAATTGTGCGATACGTTGATACGTTCTATTCCTTTTACTATGTTTTTCCAAAGCATTCTTAATAAGAAATTTTGAATGCGAATAATCACTAAGTTAAGTCAGTTTCATATATTCAAATATGCAAAATATTTATTTATGTTTCAAAACTAAACATATTATTCGCTTGATATATTTCCCTAATAAAATCATTCATTTGATAATCACGATCAGTGGAATGTGGTTATAATTAAAACACCAAAGTTTTAAACGAACTACGTGGACTTTGATCCCGTGTTACAGGTACATAGGAAACCGATAAGGTTCGAGTCCAACTAACTAATCAATTTTAGATTCAATTTTTACGTCAGTGGGCGTATAATTAAATTACAACTAATATGATTTAAATTCTTTAGTGGTCCAGTAAGGCCCTAAAAATACCAAATCATAAACTAATAGGTCAATGGACGTTGATGACTTGATATATACACATCACAACAGGTCGGCCTATTCCGAACTTGAGGCAGCAGCTTTTTGTGACTTTCTTTTCTTTTTGTTGCCAAACATCCTGCGATCAAACAAGCGAGAATACACGTTAGTCACATTTTCGAAATGAACAAAACGCGGTCGACCACTCCATAAAGCGGTCGACCTAAAACTGCACGTATAGATAAAAAGAACAACATTAGGTCGACCTCTAAAACATCATAGGTCGAACTAATACACACCAATTGTCAAACACAGAAAATCAAGCACAAATATGGTTCGAAGATGGACAAAATTAGAGTGCAAAACATCATAGGTCGACCTCCCAATCAGAAACGGTCGACCTCAGTTAATTTAAAACGAGAATAGGTCGACTAAAACCCGTAACAATTGGAGTACAAAAAACATAGGTCAACCTCAAATGAAGCATAGGTCGACCTTGGAAAATTTAAAATGAGTCTCTGAATGGACCAAATGCTTTAAAAGTTGAGTGCGAAACAGATTAGGTCGACCTCAAATTTACAACAGGTCGACCTCAATTAGTTTCGCACAAATAATTCGTAGGAGAATGGCAAAACTCGTATTTTTGCCTTCATAGGTCGACCTCAGAAGCATCATAGGTCGACCTCAGAAAATTTAAAACGAGTCTGAAATGGCCTAAATGCTTTTAATGTTGAGTGCAAAACAGATCTGGTCGACCTCAGAATTTCAACAGGTCGACCAGATTTAGTTTCGCAAAAATAATTCGTAGGAGAATGGCAAAACTCGTATTTTTGCCTGCATAGGCCGACCTCAGAAGCATCATAGGTCGACCTCGGCAAATTTAAAACGAGTCTTAAATGGCCCAAATGCTTTTAATGTTGAGTGCAAAACTGATCTGGTCGACCTCAAAATTTCAACAGGTCAACTAGAGTTAGTTTCGCACAAATAATTCGTAGGAGAATGGCAAAACTCGTATTTCTGCCTTCCTAGGTCGACCTTAGAAGCATCATAGGTCGACCTCGACAAATTTAAAAGAAGTATGAAATGGCCCAAATGCTTTTAATGTTGAGTGCGAAACAGATCTGGTCGACCTCAAAATTTCAACAGGTCGACCTCAGTTAGTGTTGCACAAATAATTAGTAGGAGAATGGAAAAACTCGTATTTTTTCCGTCATAGGTCGACCTCAGAAGCATCATAGGTCGACCTCGGCTAATAGAAAACGAGTCTGAATGGCCCAAATGTTTAAGATTTGGAATGCAAAAGGAAATCGGTCGACCTCAGCAACATCATAGGTCGACCTCAGTCCATAAAACAGAAGAATGGATTGATTGAAAGTCAGATGAGATCGAACACGAAGATCAAAAGGTAGACCGCATCTGACGAGCATAAGGGAAAATCCCTCTTTTTCCGCTTTAGATCTTACTAAAACCCTAAAAACTCGTATAGTTTTGAGAGCAAAACATCACAGGTCGACCTCAATAACATCAAAGGTTGACCTCAGTCCATAAAACAGAAGAATGTATCGATTGAACGTCAGATGCGGTCGACCACGAAGATGAACAGGTCGACCAAATCTGACGAACAGAAGGGAAAATCCCTCTTTTCCAGCTTTAGATCTTAATAAAAACCCAAAAACTCGTACAGTTTTGAGAGCAAAACGTCACAGGTCGACCTCAATAACATCACAGGTCGACCTTAGTCCATAAAACAGAAGAATGTATCGATTGAAAGTCAGATGCGGTCGACCACGAAAATGAACAGGTCGACCGCATCTGACGAACAGAAGGGAAAATCCCTTTTTCAATCTTTAAAAATAATCTAATCTACCAAAGAAGAAGAGAAAAATCGAATCAAATGAAAGGAAGATTGAAATACCCACCTTGTTCTTCTTATAAGTGGATGAGGATGAAATGGAATGGAGGTTTTGGTTCTTCACCTTAGAGATTTTAAAAAATGGAGATTTTGGAAATTGGAGAAGAAGATGAAGAAGGAAAAGGGGAGGAAGAATGAGTGGATGTGGTGGGATAGGGTTCTGATTGTGGTGTAGAATGAGTGGGGGAGGGTTTCTTAAATAGAGGATTGGGGGATAGGTTTTGGTGGATGTTGTCAAACAAACCGGTTTGGTAGGCCGAATTAAATACGTGGTCGACTGCGTTATTGGTCAGGTCGACCGTGTGTGTTATGAGGTCGACCGTTTTATTGTGTTTGTTTATTTCAACCAACAATCAATTAACTCATAAATTATTAAGATAATTCGAAAAAAATACAATGCAATTACAGTTATAAAAAAATAAACTCCTAAAAAACAATAGCAGAAATTTAAGATCCTTTTTTGGGATTTTTTTTCGGGCACTTAGGGCGAAAATGACCATATTTTCCACAGTTCGAACACTTTCTTACGCTTTTTCCCGATGCAGTTCGTGCTTACTTGAATGTCCCATTGGTCTTCCCAATTTTTGGATCTTTCACACTTCGAAGGGGTGCTAGAGGGTTTGCAGGTGTGGTGTTGTCCGTTCTCTCCCTCGCGAACTCAATTGCCCATTGAGTAAGGTCATCCAATGTCTTAGATACATAATAAAAATTAGCTTCACTACCACACGCGATGTCACACAAACGCTTACACTTTAGAGCCAATCCTCCATGTCTTATCAGTCGACCAACTTTATCTCCCACATCACCTCCAACTCCAGGATGACGATTTAGTGTCTTCGCATTTTGGGACCATCGAAGCTTGAACCACGAGGACGGTAGTGCGGTGTATCCCATATTTTTTTATTACTGTAAGCATATGTCTGCATGGAAACCCTTTAGATTCAAATAATGCACACTCGCATTTTAGATCTTGATTGGTCGTAGTAAATGTTAACCTCCTTATTCGATCCAGGTTCATGCAGTTCTGCAGAATAAATGTCTCGGTCTCATCTGATTCATTTCTTCTCTCCGCTATTACATAAGAAGCTTCATTCTCTAGTTCAGACTTGAAGATATCAAATGTACGATGTGTGTAGATACTTTCAGCTTGCATTTCCCATGTGCGAAGGGCATGCTTGCAGACCAACTTTATGTGCCTAGAAGTATAATCATCCTGCAACTCCGTGAAACACATCCCCTCCAGTGCTTCATCAATGCCCTAAACAAAACGTTGCAAGCTGTATTGAGTTCCCACATACCCATTTATCCAATGGTTATATGACTGACATCGCGAGGTTTATTGGAGTCCACCGAAATAAATATCCTTCAAGTATGCCTCTGCCCACAGTAATTTTTCAGCGTACAAATCCTGCAACCACTTATTTGCTGACAAACCATGCTCACTAATCAATTGCTCCTAACGCCTCTCAAACTCCTCAATCGATATACGTGCTTTCGCCAAGTAAATGAATGCACTAACGAACTCCCTATTATGAACGGTCGTTGTCGCATTTGTCTCAATATGCCAAATACATAGACGGTGAGGCACTCCAACCAGAACAGTAGCAATGGCACCACACATAGACTTGCATCCGTCTATGATTACTGAAGTCGACATCTTAGAGTTCATACACTCCAGAAAAGTATTCAACAACCAAACGTAGTTGGGGATTGTCTCGTTATCCAACTGGGCAAAACCATATATGATGTTACGGTGGTGGTGATTTACACCAACCATCATAACAAATGGTCGATTGTACTTGTTGCGCTTGTAGCATGCATCGAATGCCAAGACATCCCCCAAAAAATGGTAATATGCTCTAGATGTGGAGTCCGACCAGAAGAGATTGCCTAATTCACCTTCATCGTTGGTTGTGTACTTGAAGAAGCTGCCCGCATCAGAGGTATGTTTACTTTGCAAGTAACCCAATGTTCGGTTAACATCTCCTATTAGATCGTCGTTAACTGTTCGGGATTTCTGAATAGCGTTATCCAAATCCTTTGGAGTGTACCCTAGATTCTCATATCCTCCAACTTTATTCTTCATGAACTGAACAATGTTGCGTTGTTTTATTCCTTATTGTCACATCCCTATCGCCAGAGCCTTGTCTCCTTCACTCACATTTCGATGAGACCGAAGGAATTGAGTTTCTTCTTCATTGCAGCAACGATGTGAGTGTTTCCTCTCAAACTTAGAAACAACCCACGATTTCTTATTCCGATCAAAGCGTACAGTATATGATGCTTTGCAAGAATGTCTTGTCATCTTACGATGTTGTCGAGTCCGACCTTCTTTATCTATATGCATCTTCTCTCTAGTCCCCTCTCTCGAACATACCGTTGTCCTCCCAATTGCTACTCCTTGACGACTCCTCCGAAGATCTCTACGTCGAACGCTAAATCCTTTCCCTTTAGCATAGGCATC